GCTCATGTCTGTAATCCCAGTGCTTTGGGAGGCTGAGGTAGGAAGATTGAGCCCAGGTGTTCAAGACCAGCCTGGGCAATACAGAGAGAGTCTCATCTCTACAAAAAAATTTTTTTTTTTAATTAGCCAGGCATGGAGGTGTACACTGTTGTCCCAGCGACTTGGAAGGCTGAGGTAGGAGCATCACTTGAGCCTGGGAGTTTGAGGTTGCAGTGAGCCATGATCACACCACTGCACTCCAGCCTGGCCGACAGGGTGAGACCCTGTCTCAAAAAGATTAAAGTAAAATATAAAATAAAATAAAATGAGTAAGCGGTAGAACTGAGAGTCTGTGTAACTAGAAAGCCTCCTTCCCATTGCTCCACATGGTATTAAGAGCCATTTCCAGCCTCAGGAACCAACCTCACAAGCAATTTGTGTTGCTATTTCTTGGTATTTATTGTTTCGTTTTTGAGACATAGTCCTCCTGCCCAGGCTGGAGTGCAGTGGCACGACCTCAGCTCACTGCAACTTCCGCCTCTGGGTTCAAGCAATTCTCATGCCTCCGCCTCCCAGGAAGCTGAGATTACAGGCATGCAGCACCATGCTCAGCTAATTTTTGTATTTTTACTAGAGACAGGGTTTCACCATGTTGGCCAGGCTGGTCTCGAACTCCTGGCGTCAAGCAATCCATCCGCCTTGGCTTCCCAAAATCCTGGGATTATAGGCGTAAGCCACTGTGCCCAGCCCTGTGTATGGTTTAATTTGTTTCCTCCAGTCAGATATAAGGATCCAGGAGGTAAAGGTGACATGCCCCTATCAGAGCTATTCAAGACTCTACTTTGCTGGTTTGTCATACAGTTATTCATTTATACAATAAAAATATTTACTGAGTGGCCGGGCACGGTGGCTCATGCCTGTAATCCCAGCACTTTGGGAGGCCGAGGTGGGTGGATCACAAGGTCAGGAGTTGGAGAACAGCCTGATCAACATGGCGAAACCCTGTCTCTAAAAAATATATATATATATATATTTACTGAGTACCTACTATGTGCACTGTGGAAGTGCTAGGGCAATAATAGTGTTGATTTTACTGACAAGGAAGAGCAACAGCAGGATACTGGAAAAATATTAATTTGCAACCAGAAGAAACAAGTCTTTTGGAAGGAAGATGACAAGTATAATTTTGGTTATTATAAATTCGTGGGACACCAGAAGAAGCTGTCTGGAGGCAGTTAGCCTAGAAGATATCTAATTTTTATCTGCTTGGATACCGCTTCTCATCCAATTTTCTTTTAAGGAACATTCTCGCTCCTCTCTCAGCCAATTCCCTCATCCCTGACCAAAGTATATAACTCAGACTTGGCCAATCAGAACAGGCACCTTTGTGCAGTAACAGGCAAGTGAACAAAACCAGGCCAATAAGACCCAAACTTGTTCTTTTGCTGGAACTATTGGGAAAGAGAAAGGCTCTCTTTCCATTCAACTTACGTTGCTAAGTTGGTAGGATGTAAGCCTGTAGCTGCTGGGGGCATCTTGCCCACGATAAGATAGGAGGTCTTTTGACAATGAAGCCCACCAAAGGAAGGCAGAGCAAAAGATGGAGAAAAGTCCATTCCTTTTTAGGTACCTTAATCCAGCTATGCCTGAAAACCCATAGCCCTGGACTTTTCATTCATGCTTCATGGTAGATTCTCTTTTTGGATGTAGCTCAGTTAAGCTGGGCTTATGACAAGATAATCCTGAACAGAATTGATTATACAAGTCCAGAGTTTAGGGCAGTAATCTTGGTTGGAGGCTGAAGTCATCCCTGGCTTGTTGTTTAGTCCCTTAAGAGAAGAATCATATATATAATATAATATATATAATATAATTTTGAGACAGGGTCTCACTTTGCTGCCCAGGCTGGAGTGCAGTGGTGTGATCTCAGCTCACTGCAGCCTCCACCTTCAGGGTTCAAGCCTTCTGCTCACCTCAGCCTCCAAAGTAGCTGAGACTACAGACATGCACCACCATGCCTGGCTAATTTCTGTATTTTTTGTAGAGACAGGGTTTTGCCATGTTGCCCAGGCTGATTTTGAATTCCTGAGCTCAAGCAATCTGCTCACCTTGGCCTCCCAAAATGCTGGGATTACAGGTGTGTGCCACCATGCCTGGCAGAATCACTAAAGATGTTTGAAACAGGGAGTGACATGACCATAAGTGCAAGATAGATGGATTGGGGTGGGGACTGGGGCAAGAGGTAGAAGGCAAAAGGAGACTATGAGTAATATTGGTAAGAGAGGTTGGTGACTTAGTCTACAGTAGTGGTGACAGGGATGATGAGTAGGAATTTGGAAGATACTTAGGAGGGAAGCAGAGAGCATCTGATCACCATTTGGAAGTGAGAGGAAAAGGGGGAGTCTAGCATGCCATTCCTTCTTGGGAGATTGGGTGAATGGCAGTGTCACTAATGGAGAATAGCACTGGAGGAAGAGCAGGTGCATGGGGAAGGGACATGAGGAATTCAGCATAGAACACGCTAGAGATGGGGCACTTCCAGGACATCTGGAGGCAGAGGCCTGGGAGAGAAAGGAACACATGGGCTTGGAGCTCAGAAGAGAAGATAGAAATTATTTCCCAACCTTGGAATGATCACTGTCTAGCTCTGTTTCACACAGAGCCTGATGTGGGGTGCCTGGCACTTGGGTTTAGGGAAAGGCAGGCTAGAGGCTAGCTAGGCACAACCAAGGTCCTGGCTAAGAGGATGGTGCTGTGCCACTAGGTGGCACCAACAAGCTGAGAACATAGGAGGTTATGTCAGCCTGCAGTCTGGTCCAGGTGAACCAAGGGAGCCTTGGAGCTTAGAAGTAGGATTGAGAGACATGGCATTCAAATGATTACACTGATATCATGGCAACATACAAACCTGGCGCATAAACCTGACATAAGGTGTAAGCTCCCAGAAGCTCAGATGACTAGGGTCTCTGCTGGATTTCCATACAGGTGATGGTAGAACCTGTACTGAATTTCCCAAAATACTCCCCGAGGTTTTGAAACTTGCTCTCTCCTACCATTCTTTCTTCCTGAGATCTTCTCTCTTATGCATTTATTCATTCAATATTTATTGAGTGCACAACAAACAAAAAGATATAAGGTTTTTCGTTTTTGTTTTGAGGCGGAGTCTCACTCTGTTGCCTAGGCTGGAGTGCAGTGGCACCATCTCAGCTCACTGTAACCTCTGCCTCTTGGGTTTGAGCGATTCTCCTGCCTCAGCCTCCCGAGTAGCTGGGATTACAGGGACCCACAATTATGCCCAGCTAATTTTTGCATTTTTAGTAGAGATGGGGTTTCACCATGTTGGCCAGGATGATCTTGAACTCCTGACCTCAAGTGGTCCACCCGCCTCAGCCTCCCAAAATGCTGGGATTACAAGCATGAGACACTGCTCCTGGCCTAGAGATGAGGTCTTGATGCTGGAGAAAGGAGAGTGAACAAAATAGTCATAATCCCTGCTGCCTTTATGGGGCTTACAGACAGGGAGTAATCAGATAATTGTACAAATAAATAATCACAGATTTGGGTAAATGCTAAGACATTTAGAGAGGGCCAGAAGAAAACATGTCAGGCAGTTCCAATCTCTAGGTCAGGAGAGACAGGCGTTCTCTGTTGAGCTGGAAGAGGAAACTAAGGCCCAGGACAGGGTAGGTGTGCCCATTGTCACTCCATGAGTCAGGGCTGTATTAGGAGCAGAAGACTCACTCCTGACTACTGAATAAAAGGCCTGACTTCAGGCTAATATCCATCACGACACGTCTTCCCACTCCTCTCCCTGCTACCTCCTGATTCCACTCCCTTTGGAAAAGAAGTTTTGGTCTGCAGCCCTGACATTTGATTCCCATAAACCTCTAAGCCCCATCTTCATTACTTCCTCACCCCCATCCTATATAGAGTGCAGTCCAGTCAGGTTGACAAGGGCTGCTGGTCAGTGCCAGATGATCAGGAAGTGTAGAGAGGGAGAGAATTTTTGGGCCTCTCAGATTGAGAGCAGCTAGAGAAGGGCCAGGCTGGAAAAGCAGCATCTGCCAGGCTGGTAAGAGACAAGGCTCAAGTGCAGGCACTGCGAGGAAGTGAGAGTGAGGTAGAAGGATGCTCTAATGCCCGGAAGTGACGTGCAGGGACAGAGGGATGGGGGATGAAGGATGAAGAATGGAGGGGAGGATGGAGCTGGGCCACATGGCTAGGAGGAAGAGCAGTGGGCAAGGAATGCACAGAGAGCTCTTTGCCCCCAGGTCTCTTTCAATCCCTGTCTCCTCCCTCTCTACCCCCTCCTCTCACAATTCCAGCAGAGGGTTGAAGGGAACACAGTAAAATCCTGAAGACTGCTTCCTAGGGAGCAGAGTATCTTACTAATATCCCGGCCAGATCCATGGATCCGGGAGGGGTAGGGTAATCCACAGGACAGTGAAGGCGCTCTAGTCCTCAAGGACTTTGAGAGGTCATGGGTCCATGCCTTTATCTCCCAATACCTAGCAGAGGGGAATCATACTCTCTTTACCCCTCCCTAGACATGAAGAGATTCTCCGCTTTTCCCAGACCCTCTGCTACCCATAATCCCCGGCTGTGGGGAAGTTCTCTTAAGGCACAGATTGGACCCCTCTTGCTGCAGTCTCTGAGTCGGTTTCTCCTATCCTGTCCTCTGTGCCTAGAGAAAGGCCTCTTCTGGGCGATCACAGCGATTCCTTAGGATCTCCCCTCCAATATTCCTTCATGGTTAGTTGGTTCTTCCCGGGAGGTAAGCCCAATCCCTTCTACTGCAGTCCCCAGCATCCTCTCCGTTGTCGCAACCTACGCCTCCAAGGCAGAAAGGCACCCGCTTCCCCATCAGATAATTAATTAACAGAGACAAGGGAGAAGAAGGGAGAGGTCCAAGAAGATGCGGATGAATTAAGGAGCTGGAGCTGGAGGTGGATGCTCGACACAGAAGAAGGAAGGCCGGGGACTTCCCAAGGCAGGGCAGGGACGGGCTCAGCGGGCCTCACCGGTGTCGGGGTCTCCGAGAAAGGCGTCCTCGTCCTTGCGGCCCCTCAGCGGGGCCGCGGGCGCCGGCTCGTCCTCGGGCAGCCGCGGGAAGCTGGTGATGCTCATGTAGTCCACCGGCGAGTAGGCGCCCAGGGCGCTCTCCTGGCTGGCCTCGTTCTCCGCCGCCATCCTCGCCCGCGCCCCCCAGCAGCGCAGCGCCTGCCGGAAGTGGCTGCGGCGGGGGAGTGGGAGGGCGGAGGGCGGGGCGTGAGCTCCGGGACAGCCGGGAGGGGGCGCCTCTCCCCGCCCTCGGCCATGTCCCGGTCTGACTCTCCCAGGCCTGCTCAGCGCTGTCAGCCCGCAGCTGGGACGCAGGTGCGCGTGGATGGAGAGCCGGAAAGGCAGCGCAGGGTCGAGGGGAGAGCGCGCGGCAAGCGAGACTTCAGTGGCTCTGCACTTTACGCAGCCCGGGGACCAAAACCCTTCCTCCTTCCAGTCTGAATCCAGCTAGTATCCTCCTCAAACCCCAGGCTTCCTTTCCGGGCCACGGATCCTTTCACTGACCGCAAATCCTTCTGGACCTCAGAACCTGTCTCTGACCCCAGTTTCCTCGAACCCCAGACTCCTCCTTGAACTCCGAGATCCTCCTCCTCCGATCGTAGGCTCCTTCTCCTACCTTGGACTTCTCTTTGGACTTCAGACTCTGTCTTCACCCCAGACTCCTCTGAAAACCCCAGCCCATGGTTCATCCCCAGGCCCTGTTTGGCTGCAGACTCCTCCTTGAACTCCGAGATCCTCCTCCTCCGATCGTAGGCTCCTTCTCCTACCTTGGACTTCTCTTTGCACTTCAGACTCTGTCTTCACCCCAGACTCCTCTGAAAACCCCAGCCCATGGTTCATCCCCACGCCCTGTTTGGCTGCAGACTCCTCCTTGAACTCCGAGATCCTCCTCCTCCGATCGTAGGCTCCTTCTCCTACCTTGGACTTCTCTTTGGACTTCAGACTCTGTCTTCACCCCAGACTCCTCTGAAAACCCCAGCCCATGGTTCATCCCCAGGCCCTGTTTGGCTGCAGACTCCTCCTTGAACTCCGAGATCCTCCTCCTCCGATCGTAGGCTCCTTCTCCTACCTTGGACTTCTCTTTGCACTTCAGACTCTGTCTTCACCCCAGACTCCTCTGAAAACCCCAGCCCATGGTTCATCCCCACGCCCTGTTTGGCTGCAGACTCCTCCTTGGACAACAGATGCGCTTCTTTGGCCTCAGAGTCCTTTCTGCACCCTGACACTTCTGACTCCTCTTTCAACCGCGACCTCTTCTGGGACCCCTGACCTATTAGCAGAGGGGAGTAATTTTCAAACTTTAGTGTGTGTAAACTTTAGTGTGTGTTAGGATCTTTGAAAGTAGATCCCCAGATTCCAGTCCAGAGATCATAATTCAGTAGGCTGGGATGAGGTGCTTGGAACATGAATATTTACCATCATTTTAAGAGTTTTTGATACGGTTCTGGAAAGGATACTTTGAGAAAGAAGGAATGGTGGTAGTCATCATAGCACAGGAGTGGGGCAAGTTGGGAATAGGTCTCTATAGTCTGGATGTCTGGGCTCCATTCTGCTACCACTAAAAATACTGTAATCTTGGGCAAGACAATCTCCCTATCAGTTTCTGCATCTGTGAAATAGAAAGAATATAATGGTACCCATTTTAGAGGATTAAATAACAGAATGGAAAGGGATTAGTATAGGGCTTGGGTATACATTTATTGAGTATTTACCTACTCAGTAAATGCCATCATCATCGTCATCACCATTGCTTTATCTGGTAGATTCATTCCCTCCAAACCCATCCATCCTCTCTCCACTCAGAAATTTCAACCATGGCCGGGCGCGGTGGCTCAAGCCTGTAATCCCAGCACTTTGGGAGGCTGAGGCGGGTGGATCACGAGGTCAAGAGATCGAGACCATCCTGGTCAACATGGTGAAACCCCGTCTCTACTAAAAATACAAAAAATTAGCTGGGCATGGTGGCACGTGCCTGTAATCCCAGCTACTCGGGAGGCTGAGGCAGGAGAATTGCCTGAACCCAGGAGGCGGAGGTTGCGGTGAGCCGAGATCGCGCCATTGCACTCCAGCCTGGGTAACAAGAGCAAAACTCCGTCTCAAAAAAAAAAAAAAAGAAATTTCAACCACATTACAGCTTGTACTACTTCTCCATATCCAAGGATGAGGGAACCTCCTTCTCATACGAGGTCGCTGGTCCAAATTTTCATTGTGAAGTCCACAGGAAGAGAGAGGGGCTCTATACACACATCCTTTCTCTTCCCAACCCCAGACTTCAGTCTCAGAGATGGCCTGAAGTGCTTGAAAAATGTATTATAGACACAACAGCTGCAGTACCGACTATAGACAAGAGGGGGAAGCAGTGTGTCAGGAACAGCTCTGGGGTTTGGGAGTAGGACTCGGGAGAGAGGATAGGAAGGAGAGGGCTGCTCAGAGCAGCGTGGTAGGAGTGCCTAGAGACGGTAACAGTCTATCGGTGAATGTGCACCCATTATGTGTGCCTCTCCCCACCCCAGAGAGTTCTTACCTCCTCAGTGACATCTGTAGGGTCTATTACACTACCTTGAGGTCTAATCCCTCCACTGGGACCTTTCCCCACTCAAGGAGGTCTATGCCTTCTCAGTGATGTCCACTCCCACAGTGCAGTTGGCAGCTCTTCAGTGGGGATTGAGTCCTCTGGTAGGGTCCATGTCTCCTTAGTAAAGTCTATATCCTCTGTATCCCTTAGGGGAAATCCATGTCTCCTCACTAGGGTAAGTGCCCTTCAATGTCATTCATAGGCTATTATCAGGGCCCAGGGCCCTTCAGTCAGGAGTGAGAACCCCCAGCAACATCTGTGCTCTTAGTGGAGTCCATGTACTGTCATGAAGTGTGTGCCCCTTCGGTGCAGTGGATGTCTCCTCAGTGAATTATCTGTCCCCTCAGTGGGATCCATGTCCACTCTGAGAGGTCTGTACTCTGTCAGTGGGCCCCGAGATACACTCCTTCCCTCCCCTCTCAGGATTAGCAGAGTCTTGGGCTCCTGTGGGAAGATTTTTTTTTTTTTTCTGAGACAAAGTCTTGCTCTGTCACCCAGACTGACCTGCAGTGGCACAATCTTGGCTTACTGCAACCTCCACCTCCTGAGTTCAAGCAATTCTCCTGCCTCAGCCTTCTGAGTAGCTGGGATTACAGGCACACACCACCACATGCGGCTACTTTCTGTATTTTTAGTAGAGATGAGGTTTCGTCATGTTGGTCAGGTTGGTTTCGAACTCCTTACCTTGTGATCCACCTGCCTCAGTCTCCCAAAGTGCTGGGATTAGAGGCATGAGCCACCGCACCTGGCCAAGATTTTTTTTTTTTTTAAGTTTAGCGTGTGCAAGGTCTATGGTCAGCTGGGCAAAGAGCAGGGAAGTAGGTAGGAAGGGAGTCTGGGCTAGATGGGGTCACAAGGCCCATGTAGACTTCAGGAGGTGGGAGATGCCTGCTTCAGGCCTCAGAATCACTCTCGGAGTTAGATATTTAAGAATCTTTCCTGTCTTGACAGCCAGTCTGTGAAATGATGGGTGAGGTGGGCCCTTCTTGGTGGTAGATGCAGGTTAGAGATGGAGGAGGGTCCTGCCTGACTTTTTTCTGGGGTGGAGGGGCTAGAGGAAAGCTAGAGGTAATTAAGCCCAGGTTGTGGTAATGGTGGTGGGGGTTTCCCTCTGTGAAGTAAAGAGATTGTGAAGGAAAGAAGCGAATGTGGGCCGGTGTGTAATCCCAGCACTTTGGGAGGCCGAGGTGGGCAGATCACCTGAGGCCAGGTGTTCAAGACCAGCCTGGCCAACATAGTGAAATTCCATCTCTACCAAAAATACAAAAATTAGCTGGGCGTGGTGGTGCGCACCTGTAATCCCAGCTACTTGGGAGGCTGAGGCAGGAAAATTGCTTGAACCCAGGAGGCAGAGGTTGCAGTGAGCTGAGATCATGCCACTGCATTCCAGCCTGGGAGACAAACTGAGAGACTCCGTCTCAAAACAAAAACAACAACTAAAAAAGAGAATATGAATCATTTTTTGTACTCGCACAGACTTTGATATTTTACAAGCCTTAGCTTCAAGCCTGTTGAGGAAGTAAAACCAAAGCTGGAGTCAAGCCCCTAACTTGGTCGTTATTTGCTTTGTGACTTTGCATAAGTTCCTTCCCTTTCCTGGGTTTGCCATTTGTGCAGTTGGGAGGTGGGTTTATTATCAAAAATCTGAAGGTGTCTCTTAGTCTTCACTTATTGAGTATTGTACTTTAGATCTGGATGGAGATTTGTGAAGGCAAGGAGATTGAAGACATGTCCTCATAAGAGGGAGAAAATTTGAGCTGGTTCCAGGGTAAGCAGAGAGGAGGTGCTGTTGCCAGAGCATGCCCTCAAGGTCGTGGGAGAAGTTTCTCCTGAGGTCGGAATGTGGATGTGGCTCAGAGAGGGGGACCTGGAGGGAAGGGTGTCACTTGGAAGGGACCCTACCCCACTTGGCTTTCCAACTCAGTGGGGTGACTGTCAGGACCGTGCAATCAGATCACGGGGCGGCTCCGCGATGGACCTGATTCAACTCCTTTTCTTAGTCCAGCCCCTTCCCGCTCGAGCCCCGCCCTAACCCAACCCCTAAACTGTCACTCCAAGATCTCACCCCATTCTGGTCACTCCATTGCTCTGCTTCCTCTCCTGTGACAACCAGCCAGGCTACGCCCCATCACTCCATGGGCCCACCTCCTCTCCTGTCACGCCTGGCCCACCCCTCCTCTGTCATTCCACGGCCCCACCCTCTCCCTTGTCACGCCAGGCCCCGCCCCTTCTGCTTTCACTCGAGGGCGTCTCTCCTTCGGGCAAGTCAGCTCTGCCCCTGTCCTTCGACTTTTTCTCATAGTATTTCTGTCCTTGCTCACCCCGATCCCGCCCCGACCAGGGATGGCCCCACCCCTCGTGCCACGCCCAAAGCCAATTAAGCCACGCCCTCACTCGCCAGGCCCCTCCTCTCCCAGGAGGCCCCGCCTCTAGGTCGGCCTGTTTTCCTCGTCCCGGCACCCGCTGCGACCGCAAAGGCGGTCACGGCTCTAGGAATTTGACGCGATGGGGCTTCCCGAGGAACGGGGCCGGAGCGGCAGCGGGAGCCGGGGCCAGGAGGAAGCTGGAGCCGGCGGCCAGGCGCGGAGTTGGTCTCCGCCGCCCGAGGTCAGCCGCTCCGCGCACGTCCCCTCCCTGCAGCGCTACCGCGAGCTGCACAGGCGCTCCGTGGAGGAGCCGCGGGGTGAGGCCCGGCCCGGGCGGGCCTGGGGGTGTCAGCGAGGAGAGGAGCGGCGGCTCCCTGGGGGAGTCGCGGGCTCTCCTGGGAAGCTGAGGTGTCCGTGAGAAGACGGAGGGACAAGGGATTCCTTGAGGAGAGGACGGTTCCCTGGGAGCTGGGGAGTTCCCTGGACGCTTGGAGGGTCGGTGGGGAGATGACGCGGGATTCCGCGAGGGAAGAAGTGAGGTTCCTTGGGGTTGGGACGGGGAGGTCGGCCAGGAAAGTAAAGGTTTGCTGGGAAGAGAAGGGAGTCCCTGAGGCGAAAAGAGGGTCTCTAGGGGGCGACGGGAGCCTTGAGGAGAAGAGGGCCGCGAGCAGAACTCTCTTTGCCTCCTTTTCACAGCAGCTCAGCCACTGCCTCCTGAGACCTCTAACCCTGAACTGCTGAGGGCAATAACGGGTCTGGGTCCCATCTTGGGATCCTCAGATTGGCAATGGGGTCCCAGAGCTGTTTTTAGCATATCCGACATCCCGACGGAAATTGCACGGTGTAAGACTGAACGGGTTATTACCATGTCAGGTTTGTCTGTTTTTGTTTTGAGACGGAGTTTCCCTCTTATCGCCCAGGCTGCAGTGCAATGGCGCGATCTCAGCTCACCACAACCTCCCCCTCCCAGGTTCAAGCGATTCTCCTGCCTCAGCCTCCCAAGTAGCTGGAATTACAGGCATGCGCCACCATGCCCGGCTAATTTTGTATTTTCGGTAGAGACGTGGTGGCTCACGCCTGTAATCCCAGCACTTTGGGAGGCCGAAGCGGGCGGATCACTTGAGGTTGGGAGTTCGAGACCAGCCTGATCAACATGAAGTTTGTTTTTTCTAATTTG